ACCCTCCTTCCCTTCCTCCCAGTTTCCTTTTAGAAAGAATTAATTCAGAGGCCAGAAGGGAACCTTTAGAAGTCATCTCAATCCAAGCTGTAAAGCAGTTCCTTTGAAGCTACTTGTCAACCATAACTTTGTCCCCCATCAGGTAGTCCCTCAGGATTTCAGTAGGTACTTATACTGCCTTTCTTGCAGGGCTGTAAACCCCAAGTTTTATTGCCCTGGTACTTGTGAAGTGATTAAAATTTCTTATGCTTTGCATAGGATCCCCTCATCCCCGGACTTGCTTGGCTTCTTTAATATTTCTGTGAATGCTTCATTGGTATATGGTTCATAGCCCATGCTTCATGCCATGGACACTCTTGAGTTCCGACTTTCTGTCTTTGTCTTCACATAATTACCTGATACTCTGTTGGCTTTTCACTCCCTTAGCAGCTGCTGGTTTTGTGTCTGGTTAGTGTCTTGTTCATATTGCATATACTTAAGGAAAATGGACATGCTTCAGTGAGTCTCTGGTCATGAGACTGTTATTCTTCAATACACTATGCAGCTTTCTGATACCTTCACAAAAACCTTTGAAGAATAGTTGTGGTTCTATCAGTTTTTCATATGTTTATATGTATGAATGTATATATGTGTACACATGCATATCCTGTTAATAAAATAATGATCTATAAATAGTAGATGTGTTTAAACCTATATAGATTGTATTACAAACCTTATAACTTTAATAGTTTTAGTTCAAATATAAAGTTAGTGTTTTACAGTTCACATTTATATGGTATAGTTTGTTCTGAAATTTTTAATTTTAAAGTAATTGAATTTGCTAACTTTTTGAAGCTCTTAGGCATTAAGAGATCCTCCAAGTAGAGCATGAGAAGTCTTCACTGTTGCCTTTTCCAAGTTTACCTTCTGTTTAAATATTCATGTCAGCAGGATTTGTTAAATTTTCTTATGTTATGGATCAGGGTTCCTGGGTTCCTATTTCCACATCAGAGAATCAGTGACCCACAGCATCTCTTATATGTATTTCAGGGGCTTTGAAGGGCTTAAATTTATAGTTAGCAAATAACTCATCTAATGTCTTTCCTTCCATCCTTGTTATCATACCTACTATGGGAAGGACATGATATTTCACTCTGTAGTCCAGGCTGGAGAATAAAGTGCTATGTAGAACATAGTGAGTTTCAGGCACTCTACAAGTATCAGGGAAATAGAAAAAAACAATTTGCAATTCTCTTGCCTTGGTCTCTGATCTCTGGGATTTCAGGCACCTAATACCATGCCTGCTGCCTCTGCATTCTATCATTTTTTCCCCTTTATTTACATTCCTTCTTTCCCCTCTTCCTTCTTTTGACTGTACTTAAGCTTTTGCCATTCCCTATAAATTTAAAAATCAGTTGAGTTTCCCCAAATCTCTGGAGGGTTTTATTTGGCCTGACGTTGAGTCCAGAGGTCTTCTGTTTTCTGAGTGACTTCTTTAAAATTATGAGCTGCTGTCTGTGTACAGTATTTATGTTGCTATCTTTTTTTTAATACCTTTAATGAAATGTAATTTATTCACATAGACATGGATGATTTTGTTCCATATATCCAATAGATTTGTATTTCTAGGTACCTTTTTGTTATTGTGAGTTATATTTTTGATAATTGCCTTTTCTGTTACTAATATAAAGAAATGCAGGGCTGGGGAGATGGCTCAGAGGTTAAAAGCATTGGCTGCTCTTTCAGAGGTCCTGAGTTCAATTCCCAGCAACAACATGGTGGCTCACAACTATCTATAATGGTATCTGGCGTGCAGGGATACATGCAGACAGAACACTGTATATATAATAAATAAATACATCTTTAAAAAGTAGAAATGCAAAAAGATTTTACCATTGGTCTTTCCTATCATTTCTAATATTTTAAGATTTTTTTTTTTAGGTTATGGACTGATGTCAAGAGTATGATTTTAATTATGGATGACATTTGTGGCATTTTCAATACTTTAAAGATATCATTACATTGTTTGATAGTATTCATATATGTTTTCACATTTAGGGATGAGTATGTACAGCAAAGTCACCCTGAGTCATATTACAGGGAAAAGCAACATGTTTGGAATTTCAGT